TGTCAGATGAATGGAAGAATCGTCAAAACCTATATAAACAGTGTCTGGCATGTAACAAATGGAAATGTGTTGTCAAATGAATGGAAGAATCGTCAAAACCTATATAAACAGTGTCTGGCATGTAACAAATGGAAATGTGTTGTCAAATTAATGGAAGAATCGTCAAAACCTATATAAACAGTGTCTGGCATGGAACAAATGGAAATGTGTTGTCAAATGAATGGAAGAATCAACAAAACCTATATAAACAGTGTCTGGCATGGGACAAATGGAAATATGTCATCAAACTGAATGAACCTTATATTAACTTTAGTGTCTGAAAAAAGTACAAGCAATTTATTATAAATTATACGGGCGATATAAATTTTCAAAAATGATACAAAGCATTTCACAAAAGTGTTTCAATTTATTTATAATAAAGATATATAATAGTGAATTAAACATCTTGGTAGTTGAGAAAAATGTCAAGGTAAATTTAGTAACCTATCAAGCTAATGGGCTGTGACTATATAGTTATCTTTACATGGACTAGATGCTAAAACGAAACAGCTTTACAAAGACAAAACATCCAGCAACATGACAAAAATGACAGTCTCTCTCCAAGATACAAGTACAAACAGGAATTCAGGCTGCACCATTCACAGGTATCTCCGATGGGCTCCACCGTCTCTGGATTGTTCAAATTACTCTTTGGAAGATCTCATTCACACATGGTTGACGAACTTTCAAATGCGTGTAAAGAGAATGGGTACAACATTAACCTTAGAGTATTGCAGAAAAGCGTCCCAAGTGGAGAGCAACAGACCGGGGCCATCACACAGAACAACATCAGTGATGAAGAAAGGGGTCATAAAACCTAAACATCCATCCATACATCATTACTATAAACTGTGAACAACTCTCTGCATAAACCGTTTGCTATCTATATCACATTAGTAGCTCAATACTTACTAACAAAATCTGATGATACCTCAGACCTTTGAGGAGCTTCAATCTCTCTCAGAACAGAGCAGTTGAAGCACAGAGCTGCGAGTCGAAAAAAAAATTCCTTCACATTTTCACCTGTTTGGAAGGATAAAAATGTTATTCAGTTATTCTTACATAAAAATTTATACTAAATATATATATATATATATTTTTTTTTTTACTAGAAAAGACATAAGGATAACAAAAACATCAATCACTATTACAGCACCTGTGTTTACAATTTTTTAACAAACCTACACATAGCCATCCCTTACATTGAACTGACAGATGAGAGGAACCAGCTAGTCAACAGTACCAACCACTAACTCTTAGGTTATTCTTCTCTGTTGGATATACAAAACTGTTTAGCTTAATAGTTATTTAGTGATTTAATATTTAATGATTATTCAGTTTTCATAACAAGTGTTAAAAGTTAAATATTTTAAAAGTAATAGTTATGACAAGTTTATTACGTAACTCTGTACGAGTTGTACGTTCTTACTCGAAGTTTTGAAGTTTTTATAATCATATGTAATATTGTTGCTACTAGAGGGCTAGACAGTTAGAGATTTTTCTATCGTGTATATAAATACATGCAGATACAGCAAGTTAAGAAACATAGAAAAAAGTTAATTAGTGAAACAAAACAAAGTTCACTGGCGTGCGAGTGATTAGCCTTAAAACATATTTTCCTATCTCGTCAATTGGATTCTGAAATAACTGAACCAGCTAGTGCGGCCTTTTGACGAAGAGACAATTATTTAAAGCTCTGGATACAACTGTGGGAACCAACAACTTAAGTGAAGTCAGAAAATATTAACTTTGTGAAAGTGAAATTAGACTGCATGATCGTTAGTAAAAAAGTTAGAAAAAAAGGTAATTTAGGTTTATTTTGATCTTTCTTTTTTTGTGGTTATGAGAATTGACTGATCCCATTTTGAGATAAAGTAGAGAAAATAACAGATCATTTATAAAGTTTTACCGAAAAAAAAACGTTTGAAATGCATTTAGAAAAATTACTTTGCACACGGACTATTCAAAACAAATACTCAATATATTCATGGACAAATGTTTATTTTATTAAAAATACTTTACTAAAAAATATGTTTTTTTATATGTGAAAGATTTATAATATTAACTGAAAGACTACCAAATTTTGTGAAGATATACACACTATATTGAAAGTTAGAAATATTAAATCTATAAAGACTTTAATCCAATACAAAGAGGTCACGTGGTTGGTCAAATTGACCAAGCCTGTGTTGAGAGTTAAAAAACTAGTCTTTGTTTCAGAAGAACTATGCACTCACTCAGTAATATTAAACTTAAATGTAAGCTACAGCTATAGATTCATTACAGTACAGCAACAACAGGCAACATTCACTTAATATTCTTTTTAAATAACTTACCAGTTTTTGAAGAAACAGCCCAGTACTCTGCTTTCAGAGATCTAGCCATGGCAACAGCTTGCCGTTCAACCACACGGTAAGTAGCTTCAGACTGGGAAGTCAAACAACTATTAACTTCACACAGTTCTTTAAAACCAAGTACAACAGAAATATGACCTCTAAAAACAAATTTAAATTTCAAAAGTCTTTTAAAACAAGTTTATTCTACGTGACAAAACATTATTTATTATTCTTTAGTTACATTTTTATAACTATTATTATTATTACAGTCAATACTTGTATTATACCTTCCATCAATTATCTTAACTATTTCATTTAATAAAACCAGTTTCTAATTATTTTATGTTTGTCAAAAACCAACAGTCATTCACTTGTTTTAACCTTATATGATAAATCGTAAAACTTTTTCCTTTGCTTATTACCGTTTAGATACTTATTTATCCATGTGCTAAACCAATCGACTTAAAGCACTTCAATGCCATGTAAAAGTAAAGAAAGCATAAAGCAAGGCTTTAAAAGCAAAATGTTTTCTTATTATCCTGACGGTTCACGTTTAAAATAATATAATGAAGACCACAAATGACTCGTAAAATGGGCATTGATTCAAGTATTTTTATTCACCAATACCAAACACTTTGGCATTGATCTCACCTATTTAAAAATATCTGACACTAGTTTTCATACAATTTATTCGATACAAGAATAACCAAGTGTACTTATGAATTGTGCCATTATTTTTAATTTAATTAACTGAATAATAAAGTCCGAGTGTTTAAAAATTGCTTTGATAATAGTCTGATTTATTTATTAAATTTAAAATATATACTCAGTTAACCAAATATATGTGATTCTGCCCTGTTACATTGAATAAACATACTTAGACTTGATCCTTCATAAACAAACTTTAACCTACCACAACATCTCTTTTGGTTCCGATCAGGAAGATCAACGGATTTTCTCTGTTGTTCTCCAAGGTTTCCTTTAGCCATACTGGTGCATTTTGTAGACTGAATATGTTTGTTATGTCAAAAACAATCACCACAGCTATATTAAAAAAACAAAATTAATATAAAGAAATAAAACTTAAGATAAAATTAATTGAACATTAAGTACTAAATGCCACACTACACACAAGGCTTAACAGTTAAAGGACAGAGTAATCAATGTACCATAAAAAATAACTGAAAAAACAGTTAAAGGACAGATTAATCAATGTACCATAAAAATAACTTAACAGTTAAAGGACAGAGTAATCAATGTACCATAACAACTAGAAAACTGTAACTTGATATTCTTATTCAGCAAACAGCAAAGATTGCTCACTATGAGACAAAAAAAACTTTGCTTAGATTCAGTGTTTTGAAAAAAAAAAACATTAAAAGTGACTATTTAATGGGGAAACCGAGAACAATCACACGAAAATATAACTACTTTAGTAATTCAGTCATAAGAAACAAAATAATTATAAATAATATTCAACTGTAAGCCATATATGTGATACAAGTGCACCGGTGTCACTATTTATATAAAATACAACTACCTTGATATATCACTAGAAGAGATTCAAACAATTTAAAATTTATTCACCTGTAAGCTCTACAGATGTTCAGTCATTAATGTATAAAATGTAAAAATACTGACTAACACCCAAGGTGTTGTATGCTAGTGACTGATTTTATTAGTGTATAAAATGTACAAGCATTATGATAAGTTACGTAGTGCAAAAAAAATTAACATTCTAATATCGGTATAATTAATGTACAAAATACAATTACTCTGATGTCAGTCATTACTATATAAAATGTAAACATGCAAAATACAGTCACGAGTGTGAAAAGATAGCACTTGATATTAAGCACTCAGTGCATAGAACTTAACTACACTGGAACTCAGTCAATACTGAGGTTATTAAAAAACCTGCACTGACTAGGGCTTGCACCCAGGACCCTCAACTCCTAATAGCACTCCGAGACTGATATTCCTAATAACTGAGCTACCAAGATTCAAGTTACAAGTAGGATAACTCTCTCCATCCTGACTGCTATAGAATTTCCCCAACTCAAACAAGGCTAATCCTCGACCCTACGTCAAACATAACCTGGCAACTACAACTATAAAAGCTGCCTTACAAACACATCAGCCAATTACTAACCAAGCACGTACACAATTGGTTTGATTTTAAATCTACTCAGCTCAGTCAACTTTTGGGATAAAAAGATCACACCAGTTGGGCACCAATATGATGTATCAGGACATTCAGAAATATGCCATTACTGGGATATTTGGTTCCCGTTTGTGTTTCAAAACCAATGCTTTTACCATGGCTTTAATGTATAAAATGTAAAAACAACATGGTAAGTCATAAAATATAAAGTACTGGGATCAGTAATTTGTTTATAAAATATAACTACATTCTATTAAAGCGTTTAAAATATAAAATTTAACTACAAAGTATTTCAAGATATTGTGTATAAATGTAACTGCTCCAGCATCAGTTATCAGTGTATAAATGTAACTGCTCCAGCATCAGTTATCAGTGTATAAATGTAACTGCTCCAGCATCAGTTATTGGTGTATAAATGCAACTGCTCCAGCATCAGTTATCAGTGTATAAATGCAACTGCTCCAGCATCAGTTATCAGTGTATAAATGTAACTGCTCCAGCATCAGTTATCAGTGTATAAATGTAACTGCTCCAGCATCAGTTA